CACGACGAGGACGACCCAGTGAGTAACACGTGGTTGGGGCCTAGGAATGGGAGTCCTCCAGCAGCCATGGGCTCTGTCCCTGATGCTGCCACTCTTTGTGTGTGACGTTGAACAAATTTTGTAACTCTTTGGGCCTCAGTATTCCTCACCTGGAAAATGATACCAGATGATATCAGAGCCACCTCTCAGGATGGCCCTGAGCCTGAATATGTGATCGCTCTGGCTACTGATCAGTAGTCTGGGTCCAGTGCAATTCAGATACAGAGCTGCTGCTTGGGTGTCCTTAATAATTCGTGCAGAGAAACAGTGTTTGGATTTCCCAAGGTAGTTTTGTTTTGTATGGTTTTTTTACACTGTGTGGATATAAGTGGCTGTCTCAGCAGTCCCTGGGCATTGCCAAGCACTGAGGCTTTAAGCAACTGTACTGGATGGGCCTTAGTCTGTGCCTGGGACCCAACCCCAGCAATGCCAAGTCCTCTTCTGACTTTCTCTCCTCCAGCCTCAGCCACTTCCCCCTGGGCAACTCCACCCTGTCTGTGCTCACTCAAGAACTGAGCCACATGACCCTCCTGCAGAGCCTCTGGTGAGTGACCGAGTGACCCCATGGGAGTGAGAGGGAGGACTCGATCCCTAGCGCTATTGGGACCACCCACTGGAGGAATTACTGGGGGCCCCAACCTGAGGACCCTCCATGCTCCTGTCCTCGAGATGTTCCTGTATCCTGCCCGGGGGGTACCCCAGCTCTTGCCTTTCAATGCCACCAGCTTCCTCTTGGCTACAACAGTGACCTGCGGGGTTGGGGCCAAGTTCTAGAATGACCCTTCGTGTGCACAAATTCACCCTGTGCTCTGGTTCACATTTCTGATTCCCTGGGTCTGGGTTGCTAGGTTCTGCATTTCTGACCAGCTCCCTATGCTGGGGCTGCAGACCACACTTTGACTAGTGAAGTCTAGACCAGTGATTTTCAACCGTTCTCATCTCATGGCACACATAAACTACTAAAATTCTGTGGCACACACACCAAAACATATATTCTATTTTTTGCCAATCTGACCAAAAAAAGGTGTAATTTTGATTCATTCTTACCAGATGACTATTGTGTTGGCTGTTGTCTTTTTTTTTTTTTAATATATCTTTATTGATTTCAGAGAGAGGAAAGGAGAGGGGGAGAGAGAGACAGAAACATCAATGATGAGAGAGTCATTGATCGAGCCCGAAATCCGGGCATGTGCCCTGACCGGGAATCGAACCCTGATCGCCTGGATCCTAGGTCGACCCTCAACCGCTGAGCCATGCCCGGCTGGGCAGCTGTTGTCTTTTTTAAAATTTATTTGACAATGTAAGGGAAAAGAGTGACCCTGACTAAATAGTTAGGTATTGCATGTTTTATTTTTTTAAAAATGTTTATTTATTGATTTGAGAGAGAGAAACATCGACTTGCTGTTCCACTCATTTATGCATTCATTCATGGGTTGATTCTTGTATGTGCCCTGACTGGGGATTGAACCCACAACCTTTGCATATGGGGACCATGCTCTAACCAACTGAGCTACCCGGCCAGGGCAGGCGTTGCACATTTTAAGAATTCTTGCTGCACACACTGGTTGAAAATCACTGGTCTAGAAACAGATCTGGTGACCTTGATAGTCTCCCCTGTGTCCCTGGCCACTTTGAGAAACAAATATCATGCATTCTTTTTACATAATTTTTCAGAAATACAAAACAAGATGACTAAAAACAAACCCAAGCATGACACAAAGCATTGCTTTGTTTTTATCCAGGCCCCACCCCTCCCCTGCAGCAGTGTAGGGTGCGTGGGAAATGAGATTGGAGAGTTTGGAAAGCATATGATGTGGGAGCAGGTCATTTCACCCATAATTTAATTTAACAAAGGCGGTTGGTTAAAATTTTCTTTGCAAAACAATGAAAAGAACCCTCAGACAAATATTTAATGGGGGGCTAAGTTTGCATCAGCTGTTTTTTCTTTTCCCCCCACTCACAGAAGCAGGGCTCAGTCAGGGTTCAGAAAAGACATAGACTGGGTTTAAGGAAAAGCCAAACATTTGCACAGGTTAGCAAAAGATGCCTGGAGAAACTGTTGGCCTGAGCTGCGGAACCCACATGAAGCTGGCACTCAGCCGGGCTGGCTGGAGATCCCTGACGTGGCGGCTGAGGCCACGCCTGGCCAGACCAGGACATGTGGCTCTGCTCCCAGGCCAGCAGCCCTGGACTTGCATTTCCACCTTGCCTGGAAGTCACTGGGAGTCTTTAAGCCAGTCACGGCTCCTCCCTGGGCCTCTGTTTTCTCACCTGGACACTGGGTACAGCCATGCCCACCTTTCCCGTCCTTCCTCCTGAAGTTTTATGACTGGTTTATGAGTTCCTAGATGTGTAAAGGCTTTGCAAACTATAGAGTTCTTGGCACAGCACCTGCAAAGGGCTTTACTCCTGACAAAGGCCTCTTGGCCTGTTCCCTGCTTCTCCAGCCTGAGTAGGAATGACATTAGTGACATTGGCTGCTACCACCTTTCCAAGACTCTCAAAACTGCCACCAGCTTGAAGGAGCTGGGGTGAGTTGCCTTTCCCTCTCCCAGACCCAAGAGAACTTTGGCAGGGGAAGATAACAAAAGCAAGGGGCTCCTTGAGGGCACTCATCACACCCTTAACCGACTCCCTCCTACACAGTGTAACCCCAGATGTAGAACCTTGGGAGGCTCAAAGATAGGATATAAGAGTGTTGTTGCAGCAAGAGGGATTTAGGGCAGACATCAGGCAGAACAGCATAAACACAAGATAACAGTTTGGAGCCAACACCCAACATAGTGTGAAGGACTTTATCAATGTGAGCCGAGGCCTTTCTCTAGACTGCAGCCTCCTCCTGGTCTGGGATGGTGACGTCAACCAGAGGAGCTGGGTGGCAGGCTGATGCTTCCAGTTGTACTGTTCTCTCTCCAAGCTTGAGCCACAACCAGATCGGAGACACGGGTGCCCAGCACTTAGCTGCTGTCCTGCCCCAGCTGCCTGAGCTCCGGAAGATAGAGTGAGTGGCCAGCCCTCCTGACAGTCCCTCAGTGGCCACCCCAGGGTCTGGCTTCTGCCTCAGGCCGGCATTCCTCCCTCAACTCCAGTGCCCAACCAGTGGGGCTGGATTATCTCCTGGCCTCGCTTGCTTTGGGACCATGAACCAGCCCAGCCCCTGCCCCTCTCTGGGCCTTTCTGCCCCATCAGGCTGGGAGGGTGTGTGGTGGGGTTGCTGTCTTTTAGGGCCCCAGCAGATGTGGGCAGGTGGAAGTTGGGGGGCCTAGGGGCCTGATATCTCTGATATCTGCCCCCCCCCCCC